TAAATAACCTAATTTTATGACATTTTATGACAATGTATAGTCACATGACATAGTGTATGCATTGCCAAATTCTGGTAAAAATGTTGAAAGGTTTACAGTTTATATAAACATGTATAGACTAGTTACATTGCTAACAATGTGCCCAACCTGTTGCATTCATTTCTGGGGGTTTTGTTTAACAAAAGATTCCGTCTGTTTTGTGCCATGTAAAAATTAGCATTTGTTACATGTACTGATGTATTCTTATTTGCCCATTATGTCACAAATGTGTGGTATAGTAATTTAGTACAAGGCCGATCATAGTGGCGACATGTGGCGGGTGATGGCATAGAATAGAGAATGTCCACTACGTAATGTTTAATGAAAACATTCATGTTGTGTACAATTCTATTTCCTATTGTGTCATGTATATTGATTGGAATTTAACTTTTACTTGAGAAATCTCTAAAATTCTTTACATAACGTCAGATAGAACAAATATAATATATAAGTAATGTGCTAAAAAGTAGAGCAGTATTTTTGTTTACATTCATAGTTTTCAGAATATATTTCTTTTATACAACTAGATGTTAGTCATTCACTACATAGAAGATGTATTAAAATAAATTGAAAAAATCTAACATTGGTGAAATGACTAGAACTATGGTATATTTTTTTTTAATTTTATTTAATTTTATTTTATTTGATAACCATGTTTATTTCATTACAATATGTGCTATGGAATTAAAACAGTTATGAAACAAAAATTAAATTAGACATAAGCATATTTAGAAAATAAGTATTGAGAGGGCTTAGTTATTTATTGACTCAACAGTCTGTCAACATTTGAACAGTCTATTGATTTTGAACAGTATTAATATTTTACTTTTCAAGAGCCTGTTTCACATTTAGCTTGCCTAAAGGCCAACCCATTTTTTTTGTTTGTAGAACATCATTATTTAGGGTGGCCTAGACTTCCTCTTTTTAGCTCTGCTGTCATCGCAGATGACCCAGCGGAGCTGTTGGTATGGGGGTCTCTCCGTTGTAGTCCCGCTCCCGTGTCCCACGTGAAGTTTTCCTTTAAACAACTTCTACTTTTTTTTGGAATGTATTTAATCGTCCTGGAGTTCTCCCAACTAATTTGTTTTATGGATGGCAGTGAGAGTGGGTACAATTTGATTTGTTGAATGAAACAATTATTGGAAGACACAAATAGTTTTGAGAACAAGGATAAACTATCGCAAGACTTTCTATTTTGCTTGCTGTCAACTGATGGATTAAAATCCACCGACAAAGGAGCCAACTTCCTTTTCTATTTCAGTATCTCTGATATAGACTTTGTAAGCCGAACGTCGGCTTTATTTTCCGATGTCAAACCAACTAATTTCTCGAATATTGCCGAATATTGTTAATCTTTGAGGTTTTTAGAGGGATTACCACAGTTGAATCACATTTTTCGGACCCACTAATGACTGATTTACTGTGAGCCGAATTTGTGCTCTCATTCATTGATTATTTAGTTGATCTAAACATAACAGTAGGCACATGTATATATGATACTCTATGCTAATATGGCATTATAAATCATAGACACGTCCATTATTTTCAAGTGGCAGGATTTATGGCATCTCAGCCTCCTAGAATTTGTTTTCAGTTTATTGACATGTTCACTTTTTCAGTTATGGTCTTCAGAGTATGTAATCTATTCTTGTATTTTCTTATTTTTTTTTAAAACAAGTTGGGTTTACAACTAGACAAAAATTGCATTTTTGA